GTGGGGGAAGAGAGTGACACTACTACTAACGCTGTCTACTTTCTCTCTTTTCGCCGCGCCACTATACGACGATACTCTATCGTTAAAACCTAATTTTTTTTCATTTCAAATTTTTTTTATCTTGCGCATATTAGTCTTATTGCGCACTCAGATCTCTTTGGCTGCCTGCCTGCAGGTTACCATGGCAACGCACGAGTGTGAGTGAGACAAAAAATTTGAATATTTAAATTTTTAAATTTTCTATCGCACTCATGCATTGCCATGGTAACCTGCAGGCAGCCAAAAAGGTGTGAGAGCGCCTTTAAAGTGTAAGATATAAGAGACATTTCGTATGAGAATACGGGGTCATGTCTCCGATTTTTCTCAAAATTCGGTAAATTGTAGTGATAGTGGTGCTAAATAAGTGTACAAATTTTGAATTTGAATTTTTTAATATTTTTCGAGATATGTACAATAACAAATTGGAATAATATTTTTTTGCTTTACTTATAACTTTTTCCCTATTAAAAATAGAGAAAAATGTTGAGAATGTTTATTTACGCAAAAAACCTTAAACTTTTAAAAAAAAACTATTTTTTTTAAATATTAATTTTTAAACAATTTGTTTACAAAATAAAATTTGTTTATAACTTTTAAACATGTTCTCCCTCATTTTGAAGCGCGAAAAAAATTATGAATATTGTTTAAGTCATAATCAATCGATGGTTAAATTTTTGAGATAGCATTATTTTTTATTTTCGAGATATTAATTAACTAACAAAAGTTAATAAAAAATGAAATATTTTACAAACAAATAAAATTAGAATAATTTTAAAAATACTATTCCAATGTTTATCTAAATCCGCATCCAACGAGCCCTATATGAAGGTCGGTAATTCTGGAAGTACCTCTTCCACAAAAAAAGTTTTTATATATATGCTAACATTTAGGGCTCAATTAAGGTAATTTAGTACCTCATCCAAAAACTTAGGGCCCTTTACCTATTTAAAATAACCCTTGGTACTGCTAGCTTGAAGTCAAGCTGGAAGTACCACACTATAGAACCTAAATATTTTTCAAAATTTCTTCCATAGGAATTTAGGGCTCTCAACTGGGAGTATTTAAAATTTTCAAAAACCACCCCTACATACAAAAAAACATCTCCAATTACTTAAAATTGATTTAATCAAACAATAATCAAATAGGAATTAAGAGATAAATTAGGGTTCTTCAATATGTAGCACTAAATTTACTTTTTAAAAGTGCACCCCAAACCACCCCAACCAAGTTACTGATAAATTGTCAACCACAAAAACTACCCTCAACTAGTTAAAACTCAATATTTTCAAAAACAAACACATACGCATTTAAGGCTAATTTAGGGCTCTAAAATATTATTAAATTGGGTGATCAAAAATGATACACCAACATCAAAAACTCCAACGGAAGAGTTTAAACTTAATTTTTTAAGAAACATTTACATAGGAATTTAGGGCTCTTAAATAAAACAACATTAAGTGATCGAAAATGATACACCAACTTTAAAAACTACCCTAGAGTAGTTTAAATTTAATTTTTTGTAGAAACAAATACTTAGAAATTTAGGGCTAATTTAGGGCCAATTAGATGTTCAAAAATGATCCACTAATTTCAAAAACTATCCTTGAGTATTTTAAACTCAATTTTTTCAAAAAACAAGTACTTAGAAATTTAGGGCTAACATAGGGCTCTTAAATAGCACTGAATTAGATGTTCAAAAATGATCCACTGATTCCAAAACTAATTTCACTTATGAGCCCTAAATTAGCCCTAACTTCTTAAGTATTTGTTTCCTAAAAAAATTAAGTCTGAACTACTACGCGGTAGTTTTTGAAGTTGGTGTATCATTTTTAAATATTCAATGTAGTTCCACTTATGAGCCCTAAATAAACACTAAATTCCTAAGTATTTGTTTCTTCAAAAAATTAAGTTTGAACTACTCCACGGTAGTTTTTCAAGTTGGTGCATCATTTTTGAACACTTAATGTAGTTCCATTTAAGAGCCCTAAATTAGCTCTAAATTCCTATGGAATAAATTTTGAAAAATATTTAGGTTCTATAGTGTGGTACTTCCAACTTGACTTCAAGCTAGCAGTACAAAGGGTTATTTTAGATACATAGGTAAAGGCCCCTAAATTTTTGCATGTGGTACTAAATTAGCCCTAATTGAGCCGTAAATGTTAGCATATATAAAAACTTTTTTTGTGGAAGTGGTACTTCCAGGATTACGGACCTCCTATATGAATTATTTTTGATAAACAAGTGTTTATAAATTAATAATTAATAATAATTATTATTTAAATAATTAATAATATTTGAAGAAATGAAGATAATTCGTCAATTCTTTTTTTATTTGAAAGATCATCTAATTCTGTGTCAAATAAAACCAGTGTAAAGAGCATTTTTAACAATACAAATTATTAACAGATGATTATTGAAAATCGATGTTTCAGCACCCTACGACACAAGTTGGAGGGGGCTGCCTACCTACTCGGCATGGTATTTTTCAGTCTTTTTCTAAATAACATTTTATAATTAATTTTTGATTCTTGGTAATACTTAATATTCTTTTTTTGACACAGAATTAGATGATCTTCCAAATAAAAAAAGAATTGACGATTTATCTTCATTTCTTCAAATGTTATTAATTATTTAAATAAATTTTATTAATTATTATTAATTTAACACCCGTTTATTAGAAATAGTTCATATAGGGCTTGTTGGATGCGGATTTTGATAAGCATTCTAATGGTGTTTTTAAAATTACTCTTATTTTATTTGTTCGTAAAATATTTCATTTTTCATTAACTTTTTTTAGTTAATTAATTAATACAGGGTGTCTAACAAGGATTCAGAAAAAAATTCCCTGACTCCTCCTTGACTTTTTAGTAACCTTATTTCTGTTTTCTTTGGACAAAAATATGGTTACTAACATATTTATCAATAACTTAATTTTTAATGGTAGTAACAAATGGTAATAAAAACCATTCAAGTTTTTTTAGGTTAAAAATTTTTTAAATTCACAAAAAATTTTAATTTTTGTAGAAATTTACAGAAATTTCCCTGACTTTGAATGAAATTTTCTGAAATTCCCTGACTTTTCCCTGACCAATAAAATTCCCTGACTTTCCCTGATCGTTAGACACCCTGTAATATTTCGAAAACAGAAAATAATGCCATCTCAAAAATTTAACCATCGATAGATTATGACTTAAACAATATTCATGATTTTTTTCGCGCTTCTAAATGAGGAAGAACATGTTTAAACGTTATAAACAAATTTTATTTTTGAAGCAAATTGTATAAAAATTAAAATTTTTTTAAAAAAATAATTTTTTTCTAAAAGTTTAAGGTTTTTTTTGCGTAAAAAACATTCTCAACATTTTTCTCTATTTTTAGTAGGGAAAAGTAAAGCAAAAAAATATTTCTCTAATTTGTTATTGTAAATATCTCGAAAAATATTAAAAATTTCAAATTCAAAATTTGTACACTTATTTAGTACCACTATCACTACAATTTATTGAATTTTGAGAAAAATCCGAGACATGACCCCGTATTCTTATATATGAAATGCCTCATAAGATTTAATTTAAGCCTATATATAGAAGTCTCTATCACATCAGGTTAAGGAGAAAAAAAAATACTGAAAACCCTCAAAAATACGGTTTTTGGAAACTTTACCCCCACTTTATTCAAAATTCTGACGTGATACACAATTTTCGAACCCGGGATCGTGTTCAGCACATAAAATTATATTGAAAACCACTCTGATATCTGAAAAAATATATACTTTGTAGACCTGTGTTATTACACGATGTTCTCAAAATTCCGTTATCAATAACATCGAGAAAGTTTAGATTGGGATAAGAAAAAAACAAACTTTTGTTCGTAGCGCTGTATAAATACTGTAAAAAATATCAAACACATATCTGATAGTTCGACCAATTGACAAAAACTGTCGAGAAGTCACTTTCTCTTTATTATAATAAATAATTAATAATTCAAATTAAGTCAAATAATTAATATTTTTATTTAACAATCTGATTAAAAATTTCTTTTAATTCTGTTCTTCATGCTTAATGTTTTAAAATTTATTATAATTCATAAAAGAGGTAACTTGACAATTTGAAATATTAACTCTGCCGAGAATCTAAAATTGTTTAAAAAACAAAAAAATTATTTCTAAATAACGTTATTGCGCAAATCTGACGAAATTGTTTCATAATAGGTACTTTTACCTTATGAGGTCATTTGTTTTAAGATTGTAAAGATTAAAACCTACTTTTTAATGAATTAACTATAATTGTAAATAGAATGTAAAATGAAATAAAAATATTGCCTCGTAAACAATTTCAATTGCCAATAATTGTCTTCCATAAATTTCAGGTATTTGTTCAATAGTACTTTTTATATTTCTGCTTATACAGACAATAAATATTAAAAATTCACTTTTTATTTTAAAAATAATAATTTAGCGAAATAAAATTTTAATTTTCGACAAATTAGTAAAACATAAATATAGTTACTTACACGTGCGAGAAAAATGTTTATAATGAAAATTTGAAAACAAATTAGAAGAAAAATAATAGGATTCACATTTCTTTTGAAGTAAAAAAAAAAAAACAATGTACAAGTGAAACAGCTGCTTAATGAAACTACAGGTAGATAAAACTTACATCTGATAATTATTACATACATATATATGTATGTGTACATAGACTAATGCCTAGCAAAGTGTGTCAACGCAAAATAAGAAAAAAAAACTTACACATCTGGAATATTATTAAATGCAATCTAATTGTAGTAATTGCATTAGAGAAATTTTCCAACAAAACTTTTGACAAGCGAAACTATTTGTTTAGGTTAGATTAAAAAAATACACAATTGTTTGAGCTGATGACATGTGTCACACACATGCCTTAAATCCGAAAATGTCAATAATATGGTCTACTTGATATTGATATAAAAATGTATACACTTACTGATAAAATTGACAGTTCAGCCAAACACTTTCCAAAAATATTCACAAATACTGTTTCTTACACTTTTTTTTTTTGTCAAAAAATTGACGTTCTTATTTCTTAGATGCCATTTTAATAATTATTTTTAAAAAACTGATTGACCACATTTTTGAATTTTCACATTTTCTAAACTAGGACATTATTCATGGCACTGAAAATTTACGTAATTTGAAAACGACTATCAAAATAAATACTGTGTCCAGAATTTGACAGGTAAATCATTTGTCAAGTCATGGATCAAAAATTTACCCATGATCCAACTAAAGGTACGTTCAGAAATTCAGCTGCTTGCAATGCAGATAAGGCAGTTCAACTTGAAAGGTTGCGTGACGTCACTTTTCAAAATGGCGGCTCGTCGGAAGACATACATACAATATATTGTTTTTTAAAAATAACTTTTGAAAAATTAATTTTTTAAACCCAAGTGTAATGTAAAAATATTTTTTATTTATGGATATCTATTTTTTAAAATAATAAAATAAAAAAATTAATTTTTATCATTTTAAAAAATAGATTTCAATAAATAGAAAATATTTTACCACTACAGTTGGGTTCAAAAATTCATTTTTCAAAAGTTATTTTTAAAAAAATAGATTCGCTCCATTGACTTCAATGCATTAGGGCTCCTGCCTGCCTGCAGGAGTTGTCATGGCAACGTGTAGGAATAGCAGAGAGAGAAAATTCAAATTTTCTCTCTCTCTCTTACTCCTGCACGTTGCCATGTCAACTCCTGCAGGCAGGCAGCCAAAAAGGTGTGAGTGCCCCCTTATATGTCTTCCGACGAGCCGCCATTTTGAAAAGTGACGTTAAGGTACGGTCATACGACTTTTGGAAAAACCATTCTTGTCTTTCTCTCTCCTAAGACAGGGGCATAAGATTGTCTCACTCTGCAATTTCTTACATTTCCCAAAGACGGAAAATGCAGAGTGAGACAAACTTATGCGTCTGTAATAGGAGAGAGAAAAACAAGAATGGTTTTTCCAAAAGTTGTGTGACCGTACCCTTAGGGTACGGCCATACCTCAACTATCTAAGTAGGGTCGTCATGGTAACGTACAGAGTGAAAGAAATAAAAACATTCCTTATTTCTCTCACTCTTATACGTAACCATGACAACCTTTTCTTTTTCGTCTTTCTTTAATTAACACGATAGAAAGAGAAATAAAAACCAAAATGTCTGACGAAGTAGGTTAAAGCCAATCCTAATACTAAATACAATGATGGAGCGGTCACATCTCGCCTGCAGGAGCAGTTGCCAATGGCAACCGTGTAAGAGTAAGAGAGATGGAAAATCTTCTATCTCTCTTACTCTTACACGGTTGCCATGGGCAACTGCTCCTGCAGCCGAGGTGTGACCGCTCCATGAACGTGAAACATGAGTTGGAAAAGGACAGAAATATATTCGTATCATTTTCTATCTCATGCATCTCCTTCGTGAAGTTATTGTGCGTTAGCCTTAATTCGAGATTATGATTCCTGTGACTGAAGTCATTTTTAGATTTTAGTTTATCAAATAAATAAATAAATATATATATAGTTGATTTTAAATTTCTTGAATTGATTGGAGGTATAAAAATATTTTTATTTTTTTTTTAATTTTATGATTAAAGTAATTTTTAAAAGAAAATAATTCGATAATTACAGTAAACAAATTTTAAATTCATTTTCTATTTTAAATCAAATAATAAGTTGACAGTGAGATGACATTTTTCGTATCTGTCACACCCTCCGGTGAAAGATGCATACGTATGCATACTATATAGGGGAAAATAATTAATGAAATTTTTTTTTAAATAATGCTTAAATTATTTAGTAAATCAGATTTAATTATTAGATCTGTCAAATTTCAATCAATAATTGTAAAGCCATCTTTTTCAATAATCAAAAGAAATTTTCAAAATTTAGAAAATAATTTAAGGTGTGTTATATATATAATGTATGCAAGAAAATTAATCCAAAATTTCATTTCATTTAATTTATTAATATTTTTATGTATGTAATTTATTTTTTAACTCAGAGAAAAATATCGGTTAGGTTGAATAAGTTTTTTTATCATAATGTTAAAAATTTTTCTGTAACATAACAATTAAAATAAACTAAAAACATGATAAATTCATAGATAAGGATATAAAAGTCAAATAACCAGTTTAACGAAATATATACAAGAATTTGTTATAGGTTAAGTTGCAATAGTGCCGGTTAATTCTGATTTCATTATCATTCGGGTTAAAAAAAAGTTTCAGTTCATTTGTGAAAATTATAATTTTGAAATTTCCAGTTCGAATTAAAGCCAAATAATAGAATGTTTTTTAAGAGTTGTTACCGAAGGACTATTCACTAAGATCCAAAAGATCCAGTGACAATTAGATGACAAGAAATCAAAAGAGACGGCCAAAGATCGCAAGAGACGACGAAAAATCGCAACTAACGTCAAGTGAAAGAGACTAACCAAATAAAATCAAAAAATCTTATAAAAAAACAAACTAATGTATTTGCTTTTTTTAAAATAAATGTCTAAATTTAATTTATTGAATTAATTTTTTTATTAATATTTTTATTTAAATACACTTTAAATTTTATTTTAATTAATTATTCATTTGTTTTATTCTTTATTGCATTAAATTCGCATTTGTAAATATTCAATATAAAATTAATTATTTAAATCTCATGTTATTCAATTGTTCAATATTATTACTTTTACTTTATAAATTAATATTATTAATAAATATTTTTAAAAAAATGTAGTATAGCTATACTAAACTAAACTAAAAACTAGTTTTTACCTTATCAATATACTTTTTTATTTATGTGAATTTTTAAAAAAATTTTATTGGTAATATATAGAAATCAATGAAACGGAAATATTATTCGTTTGCAATCTATTGAATTTATTTAATTAAAAATATGTTAAATTATTATAAATATTCACTCCTTGAAACTTTGTCGTTATAATTGCAAGACATTTTTTTGACTTTTTTTTTAAATCCTGTTTTTTAAAATTGAACTAATAATTTTACAACTTATGACATTTTTTCTCAATTTTTTATTAAAATATCTCATTCTTAATAACCTTAAGAATTAAAGAATTTAATGTAAATAAAATTTAAGTTACATAATCATTAACTACTATATTTTTTATAAAATATTTTAATAATATAAATTTTTAACTTTTTAAAATTTTAATATGATTTCATTTATATTTTAAAACGTAAAATAAAAAATATTTAACACTTACACAAATATTGTAAACAATAAAAGTCATTTGTAAATTATAGGCATAGCTTTGAAATAGTGGGGTTTTTAAGAAAATCAACCTTAAATATTTTCGGAAAATCTCTAGTTTCATTAATTTTTAAACTTTTTGCAAATTTCAAACGGAATTTTAGAGAAGACCAAACTACCAACAACAACCAAAAACATTTTTTTATTACACTAAAAAGAAGAAAAATACAAGCAAAACAATTTTTCAGAAGTGTTTTTTTTAGTTTTATCATTCAAAATTAAAATGCGCATAACTTCGTTAAAAATGAATTTTATGAAAAATAAAAAAATACGTGTCTTCTTATTTTTCATATAAAATAATATAATTCAGTGTCAGGTAAATCTACGATTTGAAGTTAGTTGACTTAATGCCTGATTTGAAATGGATGCAATCTCTTAAAACATTTTAAGATTTTAAAAGTAACAGAGTTTCAAAAACTATTATTTATTTAACGTTAATTTAAACTTAAGAATTAAAAATTGTAAATTTTACAAAAAGTTACAATTATATGAAACTCTTATTTATTTGCCAAAAAGTTTTCTCCTAATCCAAACAGTGATTGAAAAATCATAGGAAAAAAATATATTTTTTGTAGTTTCATTTGAGCACAAAAAAAATTTTCCATCTTGTGCATGGTATTTTTAGTTTATTTTAAAATAACTGTTCGAATTGTGAAAGGAAATTGCTATTTAATAAAATTAAACATTTTTGAAATTTACAATAACTGAAATTAATTGTTTCTGTCTTGTTTACAGTAGAATTCGGAACCATAGAACAATGAGTAGTAATACTTCTTTATACACCTTACCAAATAATCAACCAGTTGTTTATTTGGAATGTACAAAAGCATTTGATGCCTTAACTGACAGAGAGAAACTTTACGCTCACTATTTAAGTCAGGCAGCCTGGAATGGAAGTCTCATTACATTTATACAAACTTCTCCGGAGTCACCACTGCTTTTTGCTCTTCTTCATCAAGTTTTTTTGGCAGAGTCCATTGAGAGTCTAAAGACATCATCGCTGGCTGCTGGTGTTTCTGAAGATGAATTCACTGTAAGACTTTTTTTAAAATCATAAAATGCTTATTTCAGTTATTAAAATTATGCTACTTAACATTTGCAGGCATTTTTGGTTTTTGCAAACGGCTTCTTCTCGAATGCTGGCAATTACAAGTCTTTTGGCGATAGTAAAATTATTCCTAACATGTCGGAGAAGAAATTCGTTGATGTAATTAAATCATCCGTCGCCTACAAGCAGGAAACCAAAAATTTTCAATCTATTCTTGATGCAATAAAGGGCATCGTCTTTTCAGTGGAAGGGAAATTAAAGACTCTGGGCCTGGGAGATAAAGGAATCACGACCTATTTTTCATCCAATTGTACAATGGAAGATGCAGATTTAATCAATGAATTCATGCTGCACAAAGGCTTAGAATCATACAATACCCGATGCTTTAAAACAACAGAAAATGGAGTTGCCTCTTATGAAATAAGATTAGCATCCATAGAAGAGAGCAATGATAACAGTATAACTTCATCTGAAGAAACATTTAAAAGTAAGTTATTACAAAAACAAGCTCTTTTCTGCCTATTTAAATTAAATTTTTTTTTATTCATATGGAAAACAAAGTTTTCATTATCATCTGTAATTATAAAAATTCACATAATTCGTATTAGAAATAATTGAATCAATTAATTTAATATTATTAATATTAATATTCAAAATTTCAAATTCAAAATTTATACACTAATTTAGCACCAGTATCACTACAATTTACCGAATTTTGAAAAAAATCCGAGACATGATACCGTCTTTTTTTATGAAATTTCTCATTATTAAAAAGTTTTATATTGTAAGAAAAATAAATAAATATTTATTTTGAAACTTAATTCACCAAAAGAAAAATGTATTTTGATAATTATTAAAAACTTATTAAAAATCCACTTGAGTGGATGTTATTTTGGAAAATAACAGAATTTTGTTTAGTAAAATAATGTATAATACATATTTATGCCTTATGTTGATTAATAAACATACAGTAAAACTCCGTTTATCCGAGCTCGCTTTATCCGAGGTCTCGATTATCCGAGGTGGTGTCCCAGTAGGAGATTCTGTATTATCTGAGTCTAGTCTACGTCATCCGCGTTATTTTTAATTTTAGTTTTTTATAAATATGAGTTTATTTTTAATAAATTCAAATTGTTTAAATTATATACAATATTATTTTCCCGTTTGTAATAAATAATAATTGTTTAAACAATAATAATGTTAAATTGTAATAACAATTCGGATTATCCGAGTTTTAGCCTCATCCGAGGTAGGTCCGGTCCACATTAGCTCGGATAACCGGAGTCCTACTGTAATTTGTTTTGAATAAATAAAGTAGGTATCAATATTTACTATAATGTTATAGAATAATTTTCTTTGGACATTTTTTATGACCGGGAAAAATATTTTATAACAGGGAAATTATCGAGAATTTTTTTTGTAAAATAAGCGGTCAAATAACATCGAAATATGTGAAAAAATCGCAATAAAAAAATTTTAAATTAAGTTACTTTTAATATAATAATATATTTTTGAATGTCAACAGACTCGCAGTTCAAAATTACGAGAGGAGACTATAGTCAGTTGCTGGCGATCGTAGTAAAAAATCTCGAGAAAGCTAAAGCCTACGCTGCGAACAATACGGAAAAAAGTATGTTGGACAGATATATTGCTCACTTCAGCAGCGGTTCCCTCGAAGAGCACAAAAATGGTTCTAGATTTTGGGTCAAGGATAAATCTCCAGTCATAGAGACGTACATTGGATTTATCGAGACTTACAGAGATCCAGCTGGTCAACGTGGAGAGTTTGAAGGTTTCGTGGCGATGGTTAATAAAGAAATGTCTAAGAAGTTTGCCGATTTAGTGGACAAAGCAGAGCAATATTTACCGAGATTACCATGGGGTCGGGATTTCGAAAAGGACGCGTTTCTGAGGCCTGACTTTACTTCCCTTGATGTTTTAACGTTCGGTGGCTCGGGAATTCCGGCGGGGATAAATATTCCAAACTACGATGAAATTAAGCAATCGGAAGGATTTAAAAACGTCTCCTTGGGAAACGTGATTCCGGCGAATATGAAACAGGACGTCATGATGTTTCTGTCTGATGAAGATCAGACGCTGATGCACAAACACCGAGTTCCAAGCTTCGAAGTTCAGGTTGGTCTCCACGAACTGCTTGGACATGGGAGTGGGAAACTTTTGAAGAAAGACAATGACGACACTTTCAATTTCGATCCAAGCACAGTCGTGAATCCTCTCACTGGGAAGCCGATTGACAAGTTTTACATGAAAGGCGAAACCTACGACTCCAAGTTCGGCACTATCAGTTCCAGCTACGAAGAGTGCAGAGCCGAGGCAGTTGGACTTTACCTGAGTCTGGACAAGGACGTTCTCGGTATTTTCGGTCACTCGGGACAAGAAGCTGACGACATAATCTACGTGAATTGGATGTCACTGATATGGGCTGGGTGCGCAAAGGCTCTCGAGATGTACGAACCCTCGACGAAGACTTGGCTGCAGGCGCACTCCCAGGCAAGATACGTCCTCATGAGGGTTTGCATCGAGGCTGGAGAGGATTTCGTCACCGTGGAAGAGACGGAACCGGGAAAGAACTTGAGTTTGAAAGTTGACAGAAGTAAGCTTAATACAGTTGGCAGGAAAGCCGTTGGTGAATTTCTGAAGAAACTTCAAATTTATAAAAGTACTGGAGATATCGAGGAGGCGAAGAGAATGTACGATAAGTACAGCGAAGTACCTGAGGCTGGTCCTCAACCTTGGGCGAAATGGAGAGACATTGTTCTCGCCAATAAGCAACCGAGAAAGATTTTCGTCCAATCGAATACGTGTGTTGACAGTAAGTGGACCAATAAGTGTTTTTCATTTTTATTCCATTTCAACAAGAATAATTAAAAATAATGTTCTTTTTCAGAAAATGACGAAACGAAAATTGATTTGAAGACTTACGATGCCACTTTTGATGGTTTCATAAAATCGTGGACGGATAGATTTCCTGATCCTCAAGTTTCTCGTATTTTGGTTGACCTTTGGAATAAAGACGCACACTTTTTCAACATGGAAACACTTAAAAACTGAAAAGACAATCCATCTTTTGTATTAACTGTTTTATACTTTACACACTGCACTAGCCCCTCAACAGCTGCAGGCGACAGTCTTCCTTGCTACCTCCTGCATATGCAATTTTATTTTTTTTTATTGAAGTTCATTGGTAATAAAAAAGATGAATTACAGTGAAAACTATCAACGAAAGTTTTCCGTTTCTTAGCCCCTTCCATATAAACAACGAATCGATAAAATACATTTTATTTTTCAATATGAGGAAAATCAAAAAAATTTTCGAAGCATGAAATGGAGAAGGATTTTGTATCTCATTTTGTCTGTAAGTATGTATATATTTTGGAGAATAAATTTTTTCGTAATAAAATTTTAAATAATATTTTACACTCACTGATCTCATAATAAGTATACCTATTTTTAGTAAACTCAGAAACGAACATGTGCTAATGCAATATAAAGATGACAATTTATTTTTTTCCTACAATGTTACAGTAATAATAATAATAGATAATTAAGATTTAAATTTAAATTATTATAGTTTCTGTGCAATTGTAAAGAAAATTATATAAATCTTTTTTTTTTTTAATTTATGTTGATTTTTCTATAAATTAGTTAAATATGTAATACGTTATTTTATTGATAAAAAGTGTAATTTTACAAACTTATATATTATGATCGATAGGTGCCTAATTTAATTATACGAAAACTAAAAAAAATATTTACTTTAACTCGGAAAGAATAACTTTTTATTTCTACAAATTTCGACTAAGTGATATTACTAACTAAAAAAATCCACTGACTTTTGGAACAAAAAAAATTATGCGACTGCAAAATTTCTTAAAAAAGTGAAATTCTACTTTTTTAAAATTTAAACCAAGGTTGGGTAGTTTACGCGAAATGTTAAATATATAGTGCTGTTCACATTGTGAACTCTTTTTTTTACTTGTGTATGGCGAAACCTTATTACTTGCAACATGGACTTAATTCAGTTCCAACTTTCTAAGTATGTTTTGAAACATTTTGAAATGTTTAAAATATTAAGAAAATTTTATATTAATGATAATGTTTAACCGAATTTTAATTAGAAAACTGTTTATTAGATATAGAAAAAAAAGTTTACGGTTTTTTTCAAATGAAGCAAAATGTAACCAATTACAAGAAATCGAACGAATACGAAATTTTGGAATATTGGCTCATATTGATGCCGGTAAATTATTAAAGTACATTTAAAACCTTTATTGTAAGAAATTGTATGCCAAGTGACATAGAATAGTTACGTGCTCTAAACTGACAGCTGTTTCTTAGCTTTCCACTAAAAATTATTAATTACTATTTACACCTTTCTGTTATCATTTTTTAAGGTTAGGTACATTTTTTTATTATAGTACATATAAATAAAAATGTACACTAAAAAATTTAATAAGATTTTATATGCCCTGTGCATGAAAAAATAAAATATCTCAAATTTTCAGGGAAATTAAAAATACCTTGAAAAATCTGGAAATATTAAATGGAATTTTTTTGAAATCGGGTTAATAAATATTTATAAAATTGTTGATATTGTGCAAGTATTATGTACAATTTTACAATTTAGAACGTATAAATAAATTAATTTAAATTTTACAGGAAAATATCTTTAAATGAAATCAAGCACGTTAAAAAACATTAATTATTTCCGGAGATATGGGAGAATCGGGAGTTATACAGCGGGTTTTGTTTTGGAGCAAAACTAGTACAAAAATAATTTTTTAATTATTCAATTATACAAAACTTATAGTATATTTACAAGCACAACTTTTGGCATGATCAATTAAAATTCAAAACGTATTCAGAAATTTTTCTTGTTTTTCGAAAATATTATTTTTACGACTTTTCAAAAAACATGAGGAGTTGTGCAACACTGTTCAAAATTGAAGGAAGAGGCATATTTTTAAGAATATTCTTTGTTTAAATTTATAAAAGGTGAAAAAATAATAAAAGTTACATAACATAAGATATAATTGATAATTTAGATAAAATTATTTTTTATATATGAAAAAAATTCAAAACATCATTTCCTGCATTGGTGGAAGATAAAAATTTTCATCTCACTAAAGAACAATACTGAAATTGCATAAAACATTCGAATTATTCATAAATAATTAAAAATTTGTCTAAACATCAATTATTGTTTAAAGCTTACAAACAAAAAACCTTCTGCAATTTAAATTTACGAAAATTTTAATTATAAATCTAATGAAATACAATTATTTCTAAAATTTGTTTCTAAAATTCTTTGGTGAATTAATTATTTCAATAACTTTTATCAATTTTTTCAATAACTAAATTATTTAAAACATTTTTTAATTTAAATTCTCTAAAATTCAATTAATGTTTAAAATTTTGTAAGTTTCCATTACTTCAAATTTACAATAATTTCAATTATTTTCAACTTAAATTTTGTGGTGAATTAATTATTTCTAAAAACTAATTTAGTTTTTCAAAAATTCAATTATTTAAGGAGTTAGACCTCTGTGAAATTTTTAAAAAATCGAAAATTTTTTTTTGCTGAAAAAGTGTTTTAGGGTGTTAGAAATGGGAAACAATAATCATTATAGAGGTAAAATATTTTTAAAAGCTTAAATTTTACATTCGAGCGGTGTCGCATATGAGGTTCTGTATATCATAGATCATATAATTGATTTTTTAATTCATGTTATTCTGTTCTTGAAAAAAAATCTTAAAAATGGGTCTGATTTTCGGTCTTCTCAGTCAGTGGTCTAACCCCTTAAAACATTTGTTAAATAAATTTTTTCTAAAATTCCATTACTATTTAAAGTATTTGCCAAAATTCTGAATTCGAATAAGTTTTTTAAATTAGACTTAAGTTTTCTTTAAAAAAAAGTAACTAAATAATTTTTTTAGAAATTTGTCCTAGTGAATTGAAATTTTGTCTCAATTCAATTTTAAAATGTTTTCTAAATAAAAATTCTTGAAAATCTTTATATAAAACATTTTTATTAAGAAATAATAGTATATTGTGCACCAAGTATCGAAAGAAGCTGTTTTCTGACAAGTGCAAAATTTGCATGAAGTCGGAAAATGTTCTTTCGTATGTGGTGCACACAGTACTTTGTGCAACACCAATTTAGAGAAATGCTTTTTATTAAGTGAATAACAAGATACAATTAATGTTTATATTTATAGTAAAAAATATTTATTAAATTCATAAAATATGTAATAATTTCTATATACATAATTAGTTTTGTACACAAATTCAACTCCCAATAGCGAGCAAAAGTCAAAGTTCTACAAAAATAAAGTCATATAACGCTCGATGCCGCCAGCGTACATACAAGCATGTAAAGTAATGCTTTTCTTTAAGGTGTTGCACAAAATAATTTAAACTTGTAAATTAATAATAATTAATTAATTAATTATTAATTAATAATTAAATTTTCTAAATTAATTTGAAAATTAAAATTCTATTAACAAAGAGATTCTTGAAATAATTGCCTCTGAGAGTTAACAAAAGAAAGAATGATGATATTAATTATATTGAGAAACTTCAGTTTTACTAATTTTTTTTATTATATTCTTTTAATTAAAATTTCATTCCTATTGTATTGTAGTATTGAACTATTGAGCTCGATAAGAAATGATTTTTAGTGAGTGAGACTAATCCCTTTGGGATCCACTATTCCGTCTTCGACACAATTACACTATAAGCAATAATTTAACACTGAAACAATTTCTAACAGAGTCGACAATTTACATATGATCGCAAAGAACATGTTTTGTTGAATTGAACATGGATTTCTCATTAGCAAGATGATTACATAATGATCAGGTGTTGTGTTTAGAAAAAGTGGCTTTTTAATTTTTAACTATTCATTAAATAAATATGTGCCTATTTAACCTTTTTAAAGGGAAAACAACAACTACAGAACGAATGTTGTATTATTCTGGAACCATCCCAACGATGGGAGAAGTACACCATGGCAATACGGTCACCGATTACATGGACCAAGAGAGAGAACGAGGAATAACAATCACCTCCGCGGCAGTCACATTTCTCTGGAAAAATTACAAATTCAATCTAATCGACACACCAGGTCACATAGATTTTACCAATGAGGTTGAACAGACTTTGGGAGTTCTAGATGGAGCAATTGTTGTTCTCGATGGGTCAGCTGGAGTTGAAGCTCAGACTTTAACCGTTTGGAGACAAGCAGATCGCTACAATATACCAAGAATAATTTATGTCAATAAAATGGATAGAAAAGACGCTAATTTCGAAAAGAGTTTAAAATCCATTGAAACAAAGTTAGAAACAGTTCCTTTAGTCACTCAGCTGCCATTAAAAAATGAACAATCTCTAATTGGCCTCGTCGATATTGTCACTCTTGAGAAGCTGATATTCCAACAGAACAATCAGGGAATGCAAATACAAAGGTTAAAGCTCACTGAAAATGATGAACAATTATTTGAATTGGCGAAAGAAAAGCGCAAAGAATTAACAGATCAAATTTCAGGATTCGATGATCAACTAGCAAATATTGTTATAGAAAAGAATTCCTTGGATGAAATCACCGATCAAAATTTGGTTGATTCTCTCCGTAGAGTTACTGTAAGTAGAAAAGCAGTGCCTGTTTTACTTGGAAGTTCATATAAAAATATTGGAATTCAACCTCTTATGAATGGAATTGTTTTATATTTGCCATCACCAAACATGAATCCACTTACAAAACTCTACAGTTGTTTTAGGGTAAAGCTTTCTTTCTACTTTTTTAATTCCTCGTTGACATTTCATTAATAATATAACGTTTTCAGGACACTCTGTCGGCAAAAGCTTTTAAAGTAATTCACGATAAGCAAAAGGGACCAGTAACTTTCCTTCGAATATTCACAGGACAGCTGAAAAAAAATCAAAAAGTTTACAATGTTGGTCAGGAGAAATCTGAACACGGCGGTCGACTTTGTGCAGCTTATGCCGATGATTACATTGAAATAGAAGAAATTGATCAGGGAAATATTGTTGCCATGGCTGGACTTAAATCGACAGTTACTGGGGATTTAATAACATGCAGCGCTACTTCAGCAAGTCGAGCTAAAGCCAGCTTGGAGAAACGAGCAAACATCAAACCTGAGGACATAAAAAATATTTTTTCCAACGATGCAAGAATTCCAGATCCAGTTTTCTTTTGTTCCATCGAACCACCTTCTTTATCTTATCAATTGGCTCTGGATAATGCACTTCTTGAGATACAAAAGGAAGATCCAAGTTTACGGGTAGGAAATTGATTCATTAAGTATCACGGTGAGCTTGGACAAAGTTCAACCCAAAAGTTCTTGCTCATACAATTTTTTTTCTAATATCGTTTCAGGGATGCCACGCGATAATTTTAAGACCAAAACGAAAAAAAACCCATTGATAAAATTTTAAATAAACTCAATTTTTCGATTTTTTCTTTTTAAAGATTATTGTATACAGTTTTATCAAATTAACGCCTACAAATTTCAATTTCTCTTCAGATCTTCCTATTGCCATCGAGGAAGATGTTCCATCATAAAAAATGCTGATAATTACTTTAAAATCTTACAAAATTCCAAAATATACGTAAAAGTAGTCGTTTATCATCAATTTTTCAAAAATTTCTCAACTGTCATCTATTTTACACTAAAATGACGCAAAAAGGATTTAAGTACTTAAAATTCTGAATAAAATGAAAAAAAAATATTTATTTTATCTTGCTCCTTGCGTCACGGGAGAATGATTTTTAATTAATTTAATTTTTTTAATTTTTTAGTAAAAATAATTTTTATTTTCTTTAGCCAATTTATATTGCACGGTGGGTTTTAAGCGATTATTATGAAAAGTCAAAATAACCAAGATTTTTCTTTTGGGATGTTTTCTACAACAAAAAAGAAAATGTTAGCAACAAAAATGAAAATCATCCATCGGTCCCTTTTTGAAAAAATTGATTTTTTCTACAAAATCGCAAAATATCTCGCTTTTGAATAGTTTCATGCAAATAATGTTTAAAATTGCATATAATTATATATATATATATATATATATATATATAATCTGTTCCAGGAGAGATCGATATTTTTCTGCGCATCTTGTTGTAAAAGTGTGTATTTTTAAGTGAAAAAGGCGTTTTCTAGATTTTTTCTGAAAAACATAGCCAATGATATGAAAAGGATTGTAACATGTGTTGCTTTTCCTAAAACTAAAATCAAGCAAACATATTTAAAATTTTTGTGACCTGCGAGCGTGGTCTCCAAAACGCAGTCGGAAGGATCTTTTATGGTTTTATGACTTTTCATTGCAAAATTAAAAAATGTTGGAATTTAAAAAAATAATTATATAAATATTATATTTGCAATGTACAGGTTAAAACAATTACAACGGTATAAATTTTTTTGCAAATACTATAAGATTAGAGTTTGTACATATGTAAATCATGAAATTGTATAACTTTTCCAAAAGCAAATTTTAATATTTAGACCTCGATTTAGACGTAAAAATTTATATCGTTGGAATCGTCAAAATCTGCAAATGGTAAATTTAATATTTAAAAAATTATTTCTTTGGATTTAAATATTTTTTATTTTGCACCAAAATGCCATAAAATCTAAACGACCCTAAAATGGATAAAAAACTTTAGTTGTCAATAAACATGTTTCTTCAAATTTAAAAGAAAGTGAAAGATAAAGCTTATTTGCTGAAACGGAAAATAATATACTCCTCCTTTTATAGTTTTCTGCGCGTAAAGGGCCCAAATTCGTCCTGAAAAATATCGATCTCTCCTAGAACAGAGTATATATATATATGCAATTTTAAACATTATTTGCATGAAACTATTCAAAAGCGAGGAATCATGCGATTTTGTAGAAAAAATCAATTTTCTCAAAAAGGAACCGATGGATGATTTTCATTTTTGTTGCAAACATCTTTTTTGTTGTAGAAAACATCCCAAAAGAAAAATCTTGGTTATTTTGACTTTTCATAATAATCGATTAAAACCCACCGTGATTGACTAAAGAAAAAAAATTGTTCCTTAAACTTTTATTGTAAAAACCTAAAAACATTATTAAAATTACTAGCAAAATTAAACGCGCGCAAGCGCGCCAAATTGAGTATTTAATTGTTTGTTATAAAGAAATTAAAGATTAATATTATCAATAATAATTTAATTTATTAGAATATTATTACATATTAAATGATAATAATGAAAATTATATGTTTACAGGCCTCGGATTATACGACTTTTTCCGACTTTTTTCAAAAATACGACTTTTATCGATTTATTTTAATAAAATGCGACATTTTTTTTACATTTGAAAAAAATGTAAATAAAATACATTTTTCTAGTATAAAATGTAGATCTTCTTCAGATCTTCTTTAATTCAATTATTTAACAAATTTTGAACTAAAATGATTCTTCACTAAATTAATTATTTTTAATAATTTTAATGAAATACATCACAAATTCAATTATATCAAAATTATTATTTCAATTAAAACTTTTATGAAATATAACAATTGTTTATAATTTTTAAAAAAAAATATCACAATAAAATTGAATTATTTTTTAAAAATTTCAATTCAAAATAAACTAAAATTCAATTATTACCCGAAATTTTAATTCAAAATCAATTAAAAATCCAATAATTATCCAAAATTTTAAATTTAAAATTTAATTATTTACCAAGTATTCAATTTAAAATGAAATAAAATTCAATTATTTTCTAAAATTTCTATTCAAAATTAATTATCCAAATTTTCAATCAAAAATGAACTTAAATTAAATTATTATCCAAAATTTCAATTAAAATTCAATTATTTCCTAAAATTTTCAATTCAAAATGAACTGAAATTCAATTATTTTCCAAATTTAAAATCAAATAAAATTTCATTATTCTCAAAATTTTGAATTCAAAATTAATTGAATTTTCAATAATTTGAATTATTTGCATCTAAAATTTAATTATTTCTAAAATTTTCCATCGAAAATTTTTTTTTTGAAATTTAATAATTTCAATTATAACTCTAAGGAAATTCAATTATTTTTAACTATTTTAATAATATTCTTTGAAATTTCAACTATCTGAAACCATTTTTCAATTAAAAATGATTTTCAAATTATTGTATTTTGTCCGCATTTTCTAATAAATTTTTAGTGAAATCATCTAAAATTTTAATTACAAAACACTTAAAGTTTCAATTAATTTAAAAAATCTCAATTTTAAATCTTTGAAAATTCAATTAAATTTAAAAAATGTTTTCCAAAAATTGTTTGATAAATTATTTTTAGTTCTGTAAAATTTAATAATTGTTTGATAATTAACAATATCTTTTGAAATTTAATTATTTCTAAAAATTTCAACTTTAACCCTTCGAAAAGGATTATTATTAAAAAAAAAAATTTTTATGTAAAAATCTGTAAAATATTTTTGTTAAAATAAAAAACAAATCCACTTTTTTTGGAATATAAATAAAGACTTTTTGTGTCTTTAAGTTGATTCGAGGCCTGTGTTTTTATAATTAATATTTAATAGGTATTCGTTGGCCCCTGGTACCTTAAAAATAAATTTTTTTCAAATTACTATCTTGTACGAAATTTCCTGGCGCATCTTTTTTCTTATCATAAATTTTTTGTATTTGTATACAATTTTTGAATCAATATACAACTTTAAAAAAAATTTCGTTGGTAAACGTTGTGTACTTCAGCTTCCTGAATTGAATTTTCGAATTTGGAATTTTAAAGAAACTTATTCCGAAATTTGGAAACACAATTATACAACTTTGGCAAAAATGAGGAAAAGAATTGTCAAAATTTGACACGTCATAAGATTACTATTCAAAAAAACACGTGAAATCAGAAAAGGCCAACTTCAAGTTAGGACAGAAGGACAGACCAAGCATTTTATTATTATATAATTGCAAAAATTCTTTTGGGACATTATTACATATTACGTGGAGAGAATTAATTCGTTTTTGGTGCACTAAAATTTTAATTTTATTGAATTTTATTAAATAGAATTTTACTTTATTCGAATTTATGTTTTTCGAATCAATGTTCAATCAAATTTAAATTAATCAGAATTTAATACCTAACAGAATTTCTATGTAATCAAATTTTTCTGCATACTTTTTATTCGAAAAAATTATTTTAAACACAAATTTTTAATTATCAGAATTCTTATTAAACAAAATTTCATATGAGTCGAATTAAATTAAGATTTCTATTAAATGACATTTTGTTTTAATAAAAATTCAGACAAATCAAGATTTGGTTTTTCTGATTTGAACTTTTCGGAAACTTAATTTGTTTTAGAATTATGTTTAATTAATATTCTCTTTTTCTAATATTCCTTCTGCATAATTAAAATTCTTTTCAATTATTATTCTGCAAAATTAATATTCTACGAAACAACATTTCGCACAAATAGAGAATCGATTAAATTGAATTTCTTGATAATTAATTTTTGTCCAAATAAAAATTCTGCAACATTAATAATTATGGTTAAAGAAAAATTCTCTAAAATGAAAATTCGAACAAATGAATATTCTGAAAATTTAAATTCTCTACAATTATTTTTTTGCAAAATTAAGATTCTTTTAAATTACTATTCTACAAAAATAATAATAGTCTACAGAATAAAATTTTATTAAAAGACAATTTTAAAAAAATAATTTCAGTGCTAATTCATGCGTCTCGAAAATTTTATAGATTTTGAAAAGATTTTTTCATAAAGGGCACTTGATCATTTTAATGTGTTTTGAGACATATCAAACTGGATTTTTGAGTCCTCCATGCGGGTACTTCCTATTAAGTCAACATCCTACAATACAGAATCAGACAGAATGTATCAAGAATTTATTTTCAATTTAAAAAAGATAGAAATTTATTTTTTGTTTGTTTATTTCTTTGGAAAATTAAAAATTTTTAAATATATTTCTTAATTATATTGGATATATTTGGAGAAGTGTAATAATTTATGAATGAAATTGGAGATTGATACACTTACCGGTGAAAAGTTAATTTGTAATTTTTCTAAATTGAAATTTAGAAGCAATTAAAAACATTATGCATTGAAACTACAGGTAACCCAGAACGAGGAGACAGGACAAACTGTGTTGGGAGGGATGGGAGAATTGCATTTGGAAATTATTAAGGAAAGAATTCGAAGAGACTATAAAATTGATGTGATGTTAGGAACTTTGCAAATTGCCTATAAAGAAACAATATTGGAGACTGTTAGAGATAAGTATGAATTAAATCATACAGTTGGCTCTAGTAAACACAGAGTATTCCTCGAAATCTCTTTGTTACCAAATCACAAGAAAAAGGAAATTCTCTCATTCGATCATGGAAGAGAGAGTGCATCGAATCTTTCTAAAATCCATCCAAAGGTAATGAGTGCTCTCAAAACAGGTATCACTACTGCTTTGATGCATGGACCTAAAATTGGATGTCCCATAATTGATGTTGGAATCATGTTACACTGGCTAGAAATCGGAAGAGGAACTTCCAATACAATGGTGATTGCCGCAATGGCTCAAGCCATTCGAAAGGTATTTCTTTGTCAATTTTTATTTACAGGATTCACACGAAAATATCATTTTGTTTTTCCCTAAATTTTCTCTCATTTCAAGTCATAATTAAAAATTTTTTTTTCCTGATCCTAATGAAAATATTTCAAGAGGTTTTCAATAATAGGCCTCGGATTGCACGACTTTTTTTTATTTTTTAAAATTGAATTATTAAAAAAATATATTAACTTGAATTGTTTGCAAAGCAATTATTTTCAATAATTTAAAACAAATTATTCGAAAATTACAGGATTTAAAAAAGTTTTCAATTGAAAATTCACTAAAATTCAATTTATTGTCTAAAGTATTTTTAAAAAAATTTCACTAATTCAAAATGAAAATTTCAATTAATAATTTTCTGAAATTCAATTATTATTTCTGAAAATTTTAACTCGAACTCTTCTAAAATACAATTATTTCTAAATTTTCTATCTAAAATTCTTTATTGAATAATTTCATATTTTAATAATTTTTATCAAGATTTTCAAAAATTTAATTATTTAAAACATTTTCCAATTCAAAATTCATTAAAATTTAATTATTGTTTAAAGTTTATAAAACATCTACATAAATTCCAATTTATGAAAATTTTAATTCAAAATCTCCTGAAATCCAATTATTTCTAAAAATTTTAACTTTAATTTCTTATTGAATTCATTATTTCTAATAACTTTAATCAAGTTTTTCAAAACTTCAATTACATAAAACGTTTTTTAATTATTAATTCTTTCAAATTTAATTTTTGTACATATCATTTTTAAGAAATTTCAATAATTCAAATTTATTAACATTTGAATTGTAAATTTCAAAAATCGAAAATTCAACTTTTTAAAACATTTTTAAATTGAACATTTTCTATAAGTGATTCAATTATTGCTTGTCAAAAATTTTATTTAAAATTCTTTACTAAATTAATTTTTTTAATTACTTTCATACAGGTTTTGAACAATTCAGGAAAATATAGTTTTTTAATTAAAAATACTCTAAAATTCTATTAGGTATTCTTTAAAGTTTAAATTTATGAAAGTTTCCATTTAAAATCTTCTGAAATTTAATTACTTAAAAAAAAAAATTGAACTCCAACTCTTTCAAATTCAATTATAGTAGTAGAATAATTAATTAAATTAACGTTTAATTGAAAATTTTTTCCCCAAATCTTTATCTTTATAATTCTTTGTTTAATTAATTATTTAAACAGTTTTTGTCCAATTATTCAAAATTTAATTTATTTAAATCTTTCTTTAATTAATGTTTAAAACAAAATTATAATTTTCCAAATTTCAAAAAAGCAATTATTCCTAAAAATCTTAACTCCATCAAAATTCATTTGTTTAAGTTAAAAATTCTCTAAAATTCAATTACAATCTGAAATTTGTAAAAAAATTTCATTAATTCAAATTTATAAAAATTTCAATTGAATATTTCATGAAATTCAATTATTTCTAAAAAATTTAAATCAATCTTCAAAAATTTAATTATTTTTAAATTGTTAATTAAAAATTTTCTGAAATTCAATTATTTTTCAAATTTTCATTTAAAATTAATTTTTTCTTCAATAATGTTTTAATAAAATTTTTCGAAAATTTAATTTTTTAAAACATTTTCCGAAATTTTGAATTCAAATAATGTGTATAAATCAAACTTGAAAATTTTTTCGTTTTTTTTTTTCATGTAACTTTAAATTATTTTTCAAAATTGGTTCTGAAACTAAATTGAAATCTTGAAAATTTGTCTCAATTTAATTCGGTGGTTTAAAAAGAAAAATTGTTGAAAATATTTCTGTGAAACATTCTTATTATGGAATTAATAGATTGTATTTAATTTCTAATAAATTGTTAATAATAATAAAATATTTATCAACTAATTAAATTTATTGAAAATAAAAAAAAAGAACTTTTTAGATATTTCTTGTAATGTAAATCGACTAAAATGACTTTTTTTTTCTTTCAAAAGTCGATCCAAGGCCTATAATTATAAAAAAATGTAAGACAATAATTTTTAGAAGCAAAAGTTTGAATTGAAAATTTCAAAAATTATCATTTTAGTTGCATTTTTAGAAATTTGATATTTTTCCAGTACTTTTCATAAAATTTCCTGACTTTTTCCTGATTTCCCTGCGAACCTGTGGAAACCATGATTTATTATTATATTTGTATTATATTTGTGAGTAAATTTCAAGCTTTTATCACAGATGATGAATTCCATTGGTTGCATTTTATTAGAACCAATAATGCACATGGAGATTGTTACCGAGGAGGAATCATCGTCAGCAATTTTGGGAGATTTGGGCCGCAGAAGGTCTGAAATAAAGAACATTGATGTTCGAGGAAAAAATAAGGTTTCATACAATTTTTACAAGCAAACGCAATCTAAATTCATGATCCAATTGTAAAATTTGTTAATTTACAGGTGTTGTATGCCACTGTTCCATTGTCCGAATTACTTGGATATTCCACAATGTTAAGAATATTAGCATCTGGAAAGGCCACATTTACAATGGAGTTTAGTCATTATCAGTCATTGGACAATAACGAAGAGCAAAATGCAATAAAAAGGATTACAGGTTTTTGAATTAAATTCCTTTTTAATGTGATTGTATAGGATTGAAAATCTAAAAAAAATTGTTTTATCTGTTAAAATTGTTTTTAAAACTGTTAATTACTAATTTTTAAATTGAAACTTGTTTATACATATATTTATTTGGTTTCATATTTATGAACTCTCGGCCTTTTACATATTTCCCATACATAAAATACAATTGAAATTTGTTTTAAGATGACAAGCACTGTCACATTTACCTTATTTTATTGTTTTTAATAAAAAAAAGAGGTACCAAAATTGTGAATAATAATGTTTTTAATACTTCTTGGCACATAAAATGAAGAATGACACTTCGTATTTATTATGTGGATGAATACTCTATAGTAAATTGCTCGAATTTCATGAGGGGCCCTTGTGACGAGTTATTCAGTCCAATAAAAGTTTCTTCTCGACGACATGATTTTAAATAAGGGCACTTTTATACATATGTACCCCCATGTAATGTAATTCAAAGAAAATTAACCAAATTTATAGATTATTACAATGACTTTCCTCGCAGTCAACACGGAACACAAAAGACCAACTACAAATCACTGCATTGAAAGAGCAAAAAAAATTTAGTTATATTTTTTTTTTTTCATTAAAAAATATTAATGAAATGCTTTAAAAAATTCAATTATTATTTTTCAATTATTTGAAATCCCTTTTAATTTAATATCTTCGTTAATTGGATTATTTTTAAAATTACGGAATTGTTTTTTTTCAATTTCAAACTTTTGATCGACTTTATGGCGCAAAAAAAGTCAAAAAAGTCGATTTTTTTATTTTAATTAATTTTAATTAGTTAAAAAGTATTTTATTTTAAATAATTAATGTTATTAAATATTAAACTCCCTTTATCATTTCTTCAATAAAAATAATTCTACAGGAATATTATCAAGAAAATTTATTTTTAATATTTCAGATTCAAACTAAGATGTAAATTTTAAAATTTTAATTAAGTACTTAGGACAAATTTCTGAAAAGATTTTGTTAAATTTCAGACAATGGTGAAATTTTATTGAATTGAAAATAATATTAATCAAATAATTTTATATAAGATTTTTTAAAAGTAATTGAACTTTTCAAGTTTTACAATTCAAATTTTTGAAATTGATTGAACTTTAAAGTGATTTTTAATTGAAATCATTTTTAATGATTTCTGATGATGAAGAATTTATTAGAAATTACAGACAAAAAATTCAATTTCCAAAGTTTTTAATTGAAAAATGCTTTTAAATAATTGAATTTTCGAAGAATGTTATAAAAATAATTGAATTTTTTGCAAATAATTTAATTTCAAGTGATTTTGAATTAATATTTTTTAGTAATTTTATTTGCTGATTGTCTTTTTAAATTTTAAACAATTATTGAATTTCATAAAATTTTTAATTGAAAAATAGTTTAAGATAATTGAATTTGTGAAGAATTTCAAAAAAATTATTAAAAATAATTAATTTAGCGAAGAATTTTAGTTGAAAAATTGTTTTAAAAAAATTGAAATAAAGAAAATCTGAATTTTTTCCAAAAAATCGCATTTTGTTTAAAAATTTTGTAAAAAAAAAGTCGAAAAAGTCACATCTTATTAAAATATGACGAAAAAAATCAGGTAAAAGCACCAGTACCTGGACGCTATTGAAGGGGTCTCAAATTTATTTGTGTTTTGTACTAAGATAATTCAATATAATTGATAAAATGTTTGTATTTTCGTTCTATTTACCTTTAAAAAATACTAATTAGACAAAATTAATAATAAGAGATGTTTTAATTAAATTAAAATCATGAAATAATGAAATTGCACATTTGCAGCTGAAGTTGGACATGGTATTTCGAAAGTCATAGTAGTTGGACATTAAATAAGTAAATTAAATAATAAATTATTTATTTAGTTATTTTGATTATTTAATAAATTAAATAATTGAACTAAAATATAATTAAACTAAATATATTAATTAAATTAATTAAACTGATTGAGTTAATTGAATTAAATCTTTGTCCAACTATTGGGTACAACATATAAAGCGGAAGGTTAACTTGGACAGTCAATTCAGACAGAATTGGACAGCGATTTTAGAGAAATTGTTTTTTATATTTTTTTTACTCCTATACAATTAATAAATTTTATTTTGCCTAAAAGCTAATTATCTAAAGAGTATCTCAAATTTTTTTTACTTAATTTGAGAGCTATTTTAATTTCTTTTAGCTACTATCCATCTACTGGTTCCAATTTTTACTTTGTCCAGGTACTGGTGCTTTTACCTTCGTTTATAATGAATATTTAAAAAATAATTTAATGTAATAAAAAATGAATTTAAAAAATCAAAATTTAAAATAAATTTAATTTAATAAATAAAATTTCGACATTCAACCAAAACAACGAATGTTAATGATTGTAAAATATTTCGATTTTTATTAAATAAGATTATATAATACTACTAAAAAAAATTATTTTGAAAAATTAGTCGATTTGTAAAAAAAAAATGATGGAGACCGCCACAAAAATTAAATTAGTTTATTTAATTGTTTATTGATGAAAACTAAAATTTATATTCGTACAGTTAAAAATCAGAAAAAAATGTCTCAAATGACTAGAAATAAAAGACGGAATTTTATAATGGAAAAGAAAGAAAGTTGAAAATTCTTAACTTGAAGGCCATTTATTGTTATCTTGAACTAAACAAAGTAGATCTTGAATAATCCAAGTATTATAATTATTAATTTATAAAATCGTCGAGTAATTATCGCGCACAAGAAGATGCGGACTAAAACTAATATTAAATTGAAAAGAGATCGCTAGCATTTCCTATAGAGACACATAGTTTCTTCGCCGGCATCTTCTTCGCGAATATAAATATATTAATATTGCTCAAAGATCAAATCATTACAAAATATATTACATTTATTTATGGAGGGATTGAAGAGTTACATAATATTTTATATATATAATTGTGATTGAGGCTTGGAGCGACGGTGAACATCTTTGAACGAAAGGAAAAAAGAAGTTCAATCCCGCTTTTGTAATTGATTTTGGGCTCTTATTGTCCTGAAGTCGTCAATTTTTAAAATCGGGACATTACGTTGTTCCGTAAATCACTTGCTTCAAATTTCTTAAATCTATATAATTATTTATATATAGTGAAAACTTTTTGAGCTAAATTGTCTCCTTAACGTCTAACTTGTTTCGTGTATAATTAATAATATAAAAATTGGCTTCTTACTTTATATATAACTAGCTTGCATGTAATCAAAGGAGAATTAAATACACATTATCACTTGCATACAGACAACGAGTTCTCTGTAAATGGGACTAAACGGTGTCGACCACCTCGCCTTATTGCTAATCAAAGAAACCTCGCTTCGCTTACTTTCTACAGCTTAATCATTTCACTGTAGAAATATAATCATTACTTTTACTCTTACTCTTACTCTCAAGTACAAATACTACAATTTCAATGATCATAATTATCATCTCCATACGATTTTCATCTAGACACAGGCGTTTTTATACATAACATAACCTCAAATTCAAGTACAATTTCAAAGAAGCTACAAATACAATTTTCAAAATTACAATTCGGAGAAAAGTAAGTCAGAGAATGATTTTTTCAAATATTTTAAAAGTAGTGTAAAAAATTGTTTTTTTTTCTTCTTCTTTCTATACGAAGAATACCTCCTTAAGATATTCATTTCTAAATATGGAAATTTCAAGATAACAAAGTTTTTTTTTTTATCTTATTTTCATTATAAAACTATTTAATTACTATTTGAGAATGTACATCGAAATATATATATATATGTCATGATACTGACAAAAATTCATTCTTTCTTGAAAATACAATTGAAATATTTTGATTAAGTAAAACTAGAAATATATTATAAGTGCCATGCATGATAAATAAACTCTTTTTCAAACATTTAAAATTGACAATCATCTCCTTTTGTAAATGCTCATTTTAATAAATTAGAAAAATTAATAGATAACGTATGACTCACGAATTAATTTTAAAAGAAAACTTTTTTTTTATACTTTAAGTAATTGAAAGTATACTTTTTTCACACATAAATAATGTTTTATTGTCAACAACTTTAGAAAATAATTTAAACAATTTTTGAAATATTTTCATTAAAAGTTATTGACAGTGGAACTTGTGTTAATAAACAGATATATATAATTTCCTCGTTTGCCTCCATTCAACTATATTTTGAAAAATAAGATTATTTTATTTATATTAATTTTTGACTAACACATTTTTTTTCAAACTGAGCAGATCATTGAAAATTACAATTACTTTTTATACGTTAAATTTCAATAATGAGTTACACGACAAGATATTCATTTTGAAAGTCTGACAAGGTATACTCATTATTCTATTAAAATTCATTTAAAAAATTTGTTTCATTTAAAAACTGTTTCTTATTTCGAGACTAAATCAAACAGGGTGTCCAGCGTTTTTTGAAAATAGAAATTCAACAAACTATGTGTACAAACTATGAAAATATATTTTTTTTTATTTATGACGATAAATCAATCATAAATCACAATTATTGCATCCTGAATTTCAATCTTTTTTTTTTCTTGCATCATTTTGGATTGTAATAACATATATATTTATTTTTTTGAAAATCCGTTTCAACTGATTTTTTTCTTCTTTTTTAATCATTAATTAGAATTTTTATTTTAAAGTATTTTATTAAAAATAATTATTTTTTGAACAAATTTTAAATTAACATTTGACAGATTTTCTTTTTATACGATTTTTTACATAACCAAATTTTTTGATTGTCAGAATATTTATTTTACAGTCATTTTCTTTACATATAACTTTTTATTTAAGAGAATTTTAATTTAACAAATTTCTCAATCAAACGAATTTTATGTAATTCAATTTTTTAAATGACAGTATTTCTAATTCACCGAATTTTAATTTATCCAAATTTTTATTTTTTCGAATTTTTAAGATGCCAAATTTTCATTTGTCCGAAATTACAAATTGACCGAACAAAAAATCGACAGACAGATTTTGGCGCCATTTTTAAAAACTGCCAATTAGAAATTATTAAGAAAATCGTGATTTGTAAATTTTAAAAATTTTCACCGAAAATCTTTTTGTCGATTTCTTGTTCCGCCATTTGTAATTTCGAATAAATAAAAATTCGAAGCACACAAAATTCGATTGTATGAGAAATATAAAAAGAAATTCTATCGAATTTTAATTCGAAAAATGAAAATTCGCCTAAAAATTAATTATTTCTAATAAAATTATTGAAAATAAAAATTCTAGTTAATGATTGTCAATAAAAATATAATTTTGAAAAATTTTAATTTTTTGAACAAAAAAATTTTTAGATTATAAGTTTTAAATTGGAAAAAAATTATTTTCTATTGCTAACCATTCTGTATAATTTTTAGGACCTAAATGAAACAGAAAAATATTACAACCACCTGCAATCATTTAAATTTAAAGAGGTCAAAATAATAAGGCGGTGACTCCACTTAAAAATAAATAACATTATTAAATAATGTTAAATTAAAGGTCAAACAAAACCTTAAATTATATTAAAAAAATTTAATAATTTAAGGTTTTGTTATGAAATTCAACAACTTTTCAAAGTTAGCTGGACACCCTGTCTGAATGCAATGAAGGGCAGAAAGGAAACGTTCCGAGTAGATAAAAATGTGTGGTCCTAATTTTCAAAATTTTCCAATTTTTTTAATTCCCGGCTAAAATTTGGTTATTTTTCGAATTAAAATTCGATAGAATTTCTTTTTATACGAATTTTTACTTAACAAAATTACAAATGACTGAACAAAAAATCGACAAAAAGATTTTGACGCAATTTTTGAAAATTGACAAATCATGATTTTCCTGATAATTTCTAATTGATCAATTTTAAAAATTGCGCCAAAATCTTTCTGCCGATTTTTTGTTCAATCATTTATTTAAATTGAGATACCATTAAATATTTATTAAAATCAAAATAAAATAATACGTATCTCCTTTTTTTTTCTCCATTTAGAACAAAATTTTGAACCGATAATAATAAAAATTGAAAAATTTTCACCACCCCAATGTGTAAATTGTACCACATCTCAAGCCTTGTTTGAAAACTCTTCGATGAGATGAAAACAGCTAAATGAAATTTGAATTATGGCAACTTGGTATAGGTGAAAAAAAAAAAAAAACAGTGACCAATTTTTATTCGGGATCCTCTTCATGGGATCCGTACTCCAAATCCTGGCGTCACAAGCTAACGAGTTTTGGAGGATTTGCATCGGGAGAACTGAGATCGACCGCGGAGAGATTGCTTCTCTGCTGAGTGGAGCATGATGGAATGAGCGGAGTGGAAACGGGCGTGAGTCCAGTGCCGCCGTCCATCAGAGAGTCAAAATTAAAGGGCATTCCACTGGAGGGAGTGGTGATGGGAACGCCGGCAACTTCCGAGGTTGTCTTCATGAAGGAGGGAGTCTCCACTGTCTTGAACTGTAAATCCTTGGGCTCGGCGAAAATCGGCAACGTATTGGGACGATTGTTATTGTCGAATCCAACGGGCAGGGAGTTGGGTCTGTTTGGTCTGAGGGCGCCAATGGGATCGCGTTTCGCCGGCTGAATGAAGTGATTCTCGTCGTTTTTAATCACTGGCTTGATGTCAAGGGGTGAGGAGGCTCTCAATCGACAGACGGATCGGTGGGCCTCGAGGATGAATTCCAGCTCGTCCTTTGCCTGCTTCAATTGATTGATCTCGTCCTGCAAGCTCTGCTTTTTCTGTTCCAAGCCCTCAGTTTCCTGGAAGAAAATATTTTCATTTATCTTGAGGAAATACAACTGTTTTTAAAATGGCAGAACAATTCTGTATACTCACTTCGAGTAAGGAGTTGGTGTGATCCATTCTTCTTTTTCGGCACCTGGCCGCCGCCATTTTGTTCCTCTCTCTGCGAACTTGTCGTCGCTCCTCTTCCTCGGGTGACATGCCAATGGTCCTGGTGGGCCTTCTGCCGCCCATGTTCCGTCTGGTTTGAGGCTGGGCCTGAGTCTGATGATCCTCGAGATTGTTGTGACTCAAAATGGTGTTGTGTGTTTGAGCTGGAGTCGGCTGTGACGGTTCCACCAGCGGTGGCACAAATCCAGCTTCTCTGCTGTGCGAGGCCGACTCGCTCGTCAACTCCAGGAAGGTCTGCTCAATGCTCCGAAGGGTCGTTGGAGTGAGTGTGGGCGTCGTTCTAGTAGGCACGCCACTGTGCAGGCCGTCCAGAGACACGAGCTGCGAACAAAAAAGAGATCACAATTATTATTTTATTTTCTACTAAAAAAAATAAAAGAAACAAATTTAAACAATTATTTATTGTGTGCGACAATTTCCACGTTTTTCCCTCTTTCATCTTTAAGGAGATAAAAATAAATGTGATTCCACGCCCGATAAGCTATCGCTCGTGTCAAACGAATCTGTCATCGCTAAAATTACCACATTAGACATTTTTTTCTTTCAATTTTGTTAAAAAATAATTAACAATGTATTTTGAACAATAAATGTTGGATTATTTTCTAAATATCTTTTTCCAAAAATGAACACACATTAGATTACTTTTATCAAATTTAAATGAAAATTTTTTTTAATTAAACACTTGTTGAATTTTTTTTTTCCATAAAAGGTAAAGCAAACTAGTTTACTATATAAAGGTACACGATATATGTATATTGACGCCAGGTAAAGTAAATAACATCAGGTCGACGTCAGCCGGCCGGTATTGTGCACAAGTGTCATCGCTAAAATTACTGAGTACCACTCGAATACCAATTTAATCGGGAAGTCCGCCCACTCACAGTCGGCTCAGCCCCCAAAACAATAAAAGTTTCATGTCTGTCTTTCAACTTGTGTGTTGTACTTTCTCTTTTCTGGATGAAACAAAACTGAGTTTTTTAATAATTTTTTTTTGAGAAAATATTTTTTTAACTAATTACTATTTTTAAATAACAGAAGAATTTTTAAAGCGGCATTTAACGGTGAAAATATTTTTGTTTTAAAAGGAAATTTAGTAATAAATATTTTAATCGAAAGAGAAAAGAAAAATTGAATTGAAATAATTCTTTACGATTTAGTCAATTCGGCAGCTCACCTTGCTCTCAATGTATTGTAAAACGTAACTTTCCGATAGACGTGACGGGACTTGTCAAAGCCTATTTCGACAAGTCTAAACGCGTTATATATATATGATGACGAGAAGGATAAACGACCATAATTCTCTTATTTCTTAAAGCGGACTCAGTTTTTCTTATCTCTGATTAGGATCAACAATTTTAAGAAAATACCACAAACACAATATTGAAAAGTATATATTTACTTTTCCAAGGTTTTACCTGAATAGACAAAATTTCTCTTTCCAAATCATACATCTCAAAATTTTCTTTTTATTAGTCAAATATAAAAAAAAAAATTGTTTTTCACTATCGACAAGTGTGGCCCGTGGAAAGGAAATATGACGAAGCTGAAGTACGCAACGTTTATGATAAACAATTTTTTAAAGAAATAATTTTTTAAAATGAAAAATTCGATAATTTTTTGCCTAAAAAATATTTCTTATAGTTTTCATTAATCAACAAATTATAAAAAAATATTTTTTTTTTTGACAAAAAATTATAGAATTTTTCATTTTAAAAAATTCTTTAAAAATCGTTTATCATAAACGTTGTGTACTTCAGCTTCGTAAATATGAGAATGTTTTTCTAAATTCTAATTCTTTTATATAGTCTTTTAGGAGTGTATTTCGAAATATTTTTGACAAACAAAATTTTAATTCTTGTTAATAATCCAAAAATTAAAATTACTATATTGAAAATTTTATATTATAAGATTTAAGGAGGAAACATCATCTCAAAACTGAGTAATTGTTTTTTTAACAATTTAACGCAAATAAAATTATAATTAATAAAATTAATTGCAATCAATTTTAGAATATTTTGTTATAAATATTGCAGAAAAACGATGTTGATTCAAAATCGTTTTTTAAATAATTATTTTTTTAACATGTTAATATTTTTTTCTTTGAGCTCAGACAAATATCACAATTTTTATCTAAATTTCAGGGTGTCTACTAAAAATCTGAATTAAAATTCCAGGACTTTTTCAGGACTTTCCAGGACAAATTTCTTATTTTTCCAGGACATTAAATTGGATGACCTTAAGGAATAAAAAATTTTTTAGTTTAACTATTGTTTTCAGAAATTATTAAAAAATTAATTAATTACTTAAGTAAATTTTCATTTTACTTATTTAATGAATTTTTTTTTAAATTGATTGACAAAATTATAAATTTTTGAAAATTTAAAAGCAAAATATAAAAAATTCAAGGACAAAAATTAAAATTCCAGGACTTTCAAGGACATTCCAGGACATTTTCAGGGCTTCCAGGACTTCCAGGACTAGTAGACACCCTGAATTTTAATAAACAAGGGCTTATTTTATTCAGTAAGACATTCTCTACAACCGCTTATATTTTTATATTATTAAAAGTAAGTTGTTAAAAAATTATAAACAATTGAAATTTTATTTAGTAAATAATTTTTTTGCAACTTACTTTTAACAATATTAAAATATAAGCGATCGTAGAATTGATTTCACCGGAATAAAATATAAGCCCTTGTTTATTAAAATTAGATTTTGTCTGAGCAGAAAAAAAATGGAATGTTAAAAAATAATTATTTAAAAAAAGATTTTGAATAAACATCGTTTTTCTGTAATTAACAAGATCTTCTAAAATTGGTTGCAATTCATTTTAATCATAATTTTCTTTGCGTTAAATTGTTAAAAAAAAAACAATTTCTCAATTCGTGTACCATTCCTTCTTAATATTTTTATTTACAATATTGAAATAAACCACATATTAATTTTAAATGGAAAAATTTTAAAGCTTACAATTGTTAAATTATAACATTAATAATAATAATAATAATAATAATAATAATAATAATAATAATAATTAATTCATGATTTTGTAATCCAAAAAGTATAATAAAAATAGTGTAATGTTTGTACCTTCTAATAATTAAATTTTAAAAAATTATTCGATAATATTTAAAAGTTTAAGAAGTAAATAATTTATTCCTCTAATGAAAAACAATGTAATATTAAATTGGACAATTGAGAAATTATTGTTGTTACATACAAAAAATAAATATAATTAATTTTTATAAATTTTTCAACGGTTAATGAATAATGAATTTGTTTCTTTGTTCCATTTGTAATAAATAAATTTTTATGAATTAAAAAAAAATAAACATGTTCTTATAGTTTTTTAGAATAAATGGTCATTTTGATAAGTGGTATAATTATGACAATTACAGGTTCGATTAAATAATCATTATCTAAAACGTCATGACATACGAATGAATGTAAGGATAAATAATAATAACATTAATATAATTATTTATCATATTCGCCGCGACTTATCAAATTAATCTTTATGTCGATGAAAAAAGAACATTAAAATTAGCCACTTTCTAAGAATACTAAGAACCATATCTGTTTGTACGTGATGTATTAAATTTTCATATTAAGTTGTAAGAAATAGAAAGATTATATTATAATTTAAAGATTTAAGATATTTTCAAAAATTAATTAATTTTGAATTTTTATTTTTTTCTTATTTAACAGAATTTCTTTTAAAACAAATTTTTACTATACAGAATTTTTAGGTACCGAATATTTATTTGGCAGATTTTTTATTTTACAGAATTTCTCTTTATAAAATTTTTTATTTCGCAGAATTCTAATTTAACTGTATTTTAATTTAGCGTAATTCTCATTTAACAGAATTCAAATTTATACAAATTTTTAAATATTAATAATTTTTAATTCACCGAATTTTCATTTGTTTCAATTTTTATTTGTACGAATTGTTAAAGTTTACAAACAACGACTTTTAATTTAACGGAATTCTTATTCAATCGATTTTTATGTGATTCGAATTTTTGAAATGACAGAAATTACAATTTTTAATTAATGGAATTTTTAAGACGCCGTATTTTCATTTGTCCGCAATTACAACTGGACGAACAAACAATCGATAGAAAGAATTTGGCGCAATTTTTAAAAATGACCAATTAGAAATTATCAAGAAAAAATTGTGATTGGTCAATTTCAAAAATTGCGCCCAATTCTTTCTGTCGATTGTTTGTTTGGCCATTTGTAATTTCGGACAAATGAAAATTCGGCGTCTTAAAAATTCTATCAATTTAAAATTCATATAAATAAAAATTCAAATCACATAAAATTTGATTGAATGAAAACTACAATGTCCACGTGTTTTTATAGTTTCCGATTGTGAGTCATCTGTAGAAAAATAAAATCAAAGTATCTTAAGGCAAATAATTGTGACTGCAAATATAAAAATAAAATTTGTTGTATTTAGTGGCAAAAAGCGATATTTTGTTCTCTCTCTCTCTCTCTTTCTCTCTCTGGGAAGATGATTTTTTTTTCTCCACCGCTTATCTGGCATGTACACGTCTTCCGTTTCGCAATGCATGCCATGCCTACGTATTTTTTCCCCTTCAGCTATACACAGAGACAAGTACATATAATCAGTGAGAGCGTAGAGTGAGCGAGAGAGAAGAGAGCGTTCTGCCATGTGCGAAACGCGAACACGGTCTCCGCAATTCTATAAATAAATGCATTTGATGCTCTAATCTGCCTTGGGTTTCCACTGCACACACCAGACAAAGAATTACACAAAAGGAATAAAGCAATCAAGAAAAACTATTCAACAAATATATATATACATATAATTATTCTACCTTCTTGTTGCAATGTTGAGGGAAAATTCATAATTATATACTTCGAAACTCAATGGAAACTTCAAGTTCTTGAATTAGCTGTCCCAATTTTACTTTCATCCATCTATTTCAACACCTCTCGCTGTTCTGAATTTTCAATTAGGCTCATTTTTCATTTCACCCCCCACACACGTTTTCAAAAAAAAAAAAAAAACTATATTTTTTCGTTAATTACAAATAGCATAATCAGAATATTATTATAAATCCAATTAAACAAAAGATTTCAGAATAGATTTTGCTCCGGAAATAGTATTCTTTACTACATATTTCCGGAGCAAAAGTTGCCAAAAATTCCCAACAGTTTAGGATTTAAAGTAAAAGTTACTTTATTTTTGTTATCAATTTTTCTAAGCAATTTGTATGAAAAACCTGTACGAACGTGTTTTAAGAACATAAGTGAACAATTCTATACCACAAACAGAAATTTAATGAAAT